AGGGGCCATATGGCCCCTCAATGGGCCAAGCCGTATTTCTGTGGGGCTGCAGACAAAATTTGGAAAAAGGGAGGGCNTGCGGTGCGGTGGTATGACTCACGGCAAATTGCAGCCGCGGCGCGCACTTGATTGTACGCACTGTACTTAAAATACAACCTTAGATCTGGGAATTCCAAGTACCGGTAAACAGGTATGCGCCTTCTCAGAACGGGTAGAGCCCTAATGAATTATCCTCTATTTTCCTAAATATCTCCCCCTCCTCTCGTGAGTTTTACCGTCACCTTTTCAGTAAATTTCAGATGTTCTTCAGTTCAGTATTCAAAGTGTTTGGAAGAAGACCCCATCCTTATTATCAATATTCCTTATGCTATAAACAAATAATAATTGTTATAAATAAAAGTACAGTTGATAAAGTATATATTTATAATCAATATTACGTTTATTATAATTAAACAATATGAGGGGGGGGGCCACAGAACTGAATGAAAGTCAGAAGTGGGCCACGAGCAAAAAAAGGTTGAGAACCACTGACTTAGAGCATCATTAAGTAGGCAATAAATAAATAAGCAGATCAAATCTGAGCCTAGAGATGGGTTGACTTAGTAATTTCTATGGTCACTTGAGACTTTCAACATATGTTGTTCAGAATTATAAGTCGCTTTCACTTTGAATTAAGTGGCAGTTTATAATATCTACATAAAAATACTTATAACTTTCTGTTACGTCAAATCATTTGTCGTGTTTTATGAATGGAATTTGTGCTCAATAATCTTAATATGTATGGGGTAAAAATATGTCGATCACTTTCTTCTCAGTCTTCATAATTCCTCATACATATGGATCCTGACATCTGACAACATTGAGCTGTGTAGTTGATAAAAATGTGCTCACTTCACACAAACTTGCGAAATATCTGAAATAACATGGATCTATAGTTTAGTTTACAGCGCTTGCATTTAGTTTCTGCTGAGTCATTTGATATGGTCCAATGAACACTTCACTTTTCTCAGAAACCGGCTTTGCAGTTTGTGAGAAGAGAATCTTAATTTTCTGTGCTGCACAAACAACTATATGACTGACACATTCTTTTATTATCTTTTTGTGTATTTGTTTGTTTTTCTGGTTAAATCACCCAACTTTTCACTGATATGGTTCACCTGATAATGACATCAGACTATTTCAGATAACATGAACACTAAAATAAACACCAGGAGTGCTGCAAATTATCAAGTGATAACTCTTCTGACTTGTATTCCAGTGATGCCCAGTTTGATCCTCTGCCAGGACACTGACTGTTCAGACAGGTTCTTCGTGGTTTCCCTCAGTCCCATGAGGTAAATGCAGATATTGTACATGAAATTAAGCCATGACCACATCTTTCCTACCCTTGTCAGTTCACTTATCCCACCATTTGACATACAGGTATGTGTTACTAACAAGATAAAAATGACAGAGCAGAAACACAGGTCAAGGCAGAGCTAAACAAGATCCCAGTGCTGCTGTTAAATATATAGAAAGAAAAGAAAAAGAAAACTCTGTGGCCTGTAGTCCACAAGCAAGCTATACGGACCAAGCAACCGCCACTTGTCGGCAAAGTTAGTGCCAACTTTAACAGATATAGGGTGTCATGTGGTCAGAGCAATGGATCTCCACGGCTGTTAATCTCGGTCTTCTAGACCAGAGCCGCTATTTCCTTCAAATAGCTCCTCAGTTATCCTTTCGAGGCTGAGTGGACTCTGTTCCAGACCCACTACTTCTCAGAAAATCAGGTAGCGCCGGGGAATCGAACCTGGGACCTCTGGATCTGTAGGCAGGAACTCTAACCACTAGACCACAGAGGCAGTAGTTAAATATATAGAAACATATTTAAATCCAAAATGGCACTCCATACTAACTTGGCAGGGAGCTGAAGATAAGCTGCATATCTACTTAGGTGTGAGCTAGCTGCACTGAACTGTAACAACACATAATCATGGTTTTCCAGTTTCAAATCTCTGAAGGGCTGCATTGTACCTCAGGTACCCACCTGCATGCCACATTATAATCATATTCTGCCCTGCAGTGATCACATCTATGAAGCACAAGCATACAAATACAAAATGGTCCATGAAATTCAAAAGCATGTATTTAAATTACATGTTACCAAGTTGACATCACTTAAAATCAGCCCATTAAAGGTTTCATCTTGGAGACATACTACTTCTATATTTTCTAAAGTTATTCATTAGGTGTCATATGAAATCAAATAAAAAGTTACAAAGAGTATGTAGTGAGCACTTTTAGTACTTTTTTTTAGTAATATTTGTTGATTTTTTAAAGCGGGGCAAAGCATCAACATGTTTTATGAAATGAAGAGTACTTTTAAGGACCAGGTGTGGTCCATGTACCACCAGTTTTGACAGCCCTGGTATACATGAACACATTTAGATATGCTAGTAATGATTGTATTTACTGGATTTGAGTTCTCTTAGAAGTGGGGAGATACTGTCTTCTGGGCAGTGGCTTTGTGCAGTTTCCTGGCTACGTACCAATGTTTCTAAGGGACATGCTATGTTCAGATTGGTTTTCAATCTGAAGGTAGAAGAGTAAGCAGAGCATGGATAAAATAGACTTCCCACCATGGCGGCCCTGGTTCGATCCCGGGTCTGGTCAAGTGGGATTTGTGGTGGACATAGTGGCGCTGGGGCAGGTTTTCTCTGAGTACTTCGGTTTAACCTGCCAATCTTCATCCCACCAATTGCTCCACAATCACCCTCACCTATCATCTGGGGCTGGTACAATAGGCCAGAAGTTGCTGCAGTACAAGGGACTTAGTCCCACCCCACTAGCAATAAAAATGGATAAAATAGTGTATAATAGAGGAAGGGAGGACTGGAACTGGGGCACAGGAAACTAAGGAGAGTAAGTAGAACAGAGTAATACTTGCCCTTTGAAGGGTAGAGTGAATGGTAGATGTAATGGATTTGAGTTTGATTGACTGGCCCACTTTTTCATGGGTCCACAAACAGTTTGAGAACTACCAACAGCACAAATCAGGTGGCCCATGGCTTGCATTTGGAATCAAGTTCCACAGCACCTTACTACACCCTGGTTAGTTCAATATAATCCACATTGACAAAATATATTTCCCTAGAATCAATTTTATTATTATCCTTTTACCTCTATACATGGATGCTTCCCTATCTAAAATTTATATATATTTTTTATTTCTTCCAGTCTTGTAATATGTACAACTCATCATAACCATCGTGATGTCGCAATTTTAATGTACATGGATGATAATATTCCTCGTAATGAATTTAGAAGAAAACAAGGGGATGTGAGACAAGTTGAATTCCTGAAGCACACCCTGCTGAGGCGTGAACAGCCTTGTTCACACACTTTCAGAAATGAAAGTCATTGGCTCCACAATGTAATGACGCTCAAAGGTCACTCACTCAATTTGTTCCTCATGATGCAATCTCAAGAAGCGTAACATAACACTTCCACTGTAATTGAGACGTGGAAGGTGTCTGAAAGACACAAGGCCATGGAACTGCTTATAAATGCACGAGCCCTGCTTTCTTACAGCATTTGCTATCACAATGTCGCCAGCCCTGTGTGTTGTGATATTGACTCTCTCAGTGTTGAGTGCTGTTGGTGCACTGAAAAATGTTGATGTGGAGCTGATACCAGAGGAACAGAAGACTGTGAGTGCAGATGTGGGGAAGAGTCTTTCATTGGGAGTGGATAACTCTGAGTGGAAGAGACGCAACTTTGTCGATATGATGGATGACCAGATGACAGCAGGCTCAGAGTACTATGGCCCTGCTGTTATAGGCAGCTATGCAGAACAGCAGAAGAAGGAGGGCGATTCCTACAAGCTCCAAGATGCAAAGGACACGAGAGGTGAGGTGGGGTTTTATGGCATTGCAAGGCAGAAGGGCTCAAGGGGACGCGTGAGTGAGGATGGGTATACCGCAGACCACCAGTCAACCCACAGGGACAAGCAGAATTCTGGTTATTATGGCGACAAAAATGGCGCACATAAGGCCTATGATGCGGGGCGATCTTCATATGGGGGCCAAGATTTCAATCGTCAGGGACAGGCTGGAGCTGCTTACGGCGCTAGAGGAGGCCGTAGGAAAGGGCATCATTCCACGGGATTTAAGAACTCTTACCATAAAGACGAATCAGGCAACAAATCTCGCTTCTTCGATGACTCCAACGACGAGGTTGGCCACTATCTGTATGACTCCAGGGATGGCACGTTCAGGGACCGCGGCGTGGACACGCACCATGGGAAATACGAGGGCGGAGCCTACCAAGACACTGCCAGGGGGAAGCAGGGAAAGTTCGGTGCGTCTGCAGCCTATGATGACAGCCAAGGCCACAAGGGACGCTATGCGAATGACGAATATCACAAGGACAAAACAGGATACAATCAGCAGCAAGGTGGGGAGAGCTTCGGGAGGAATCTCCAAGGTAATCGAAACGAAGAGGCCGGCCGTCTCTATCACGAAGTAGCTGGAGGACACGTCAGGCCTCCTATTGTTGGTCATGTCTCCCCGTCGGGCATTTACAATTACGAAGGCGATTCAGGTTATTACAGTCCCAAAGCCCATCATACCGAGATAAATTATCCAGTGCCATATACCAATATTTATAAAGACAAATTAGGGGAACAAGGGGCATACGATGGCCCCATACACGATGGCGAACTAAAAGGAAAGGGTTATGCAGAATATATTGATACAGGGGCCAGTGAATATTATCCAGAAACGAGAGCCGAAATTGACAATTATGATGAACCGAATTATTACAGTTCCATCAATTAACACGATTTTAAACAAGAAACTGAAAAACAATCTGTTAATGAAAATACACACAAATTGCCACTGACCCAGCTGCCTAACAATGATTAGCTTGTCATGTATTGCTTCTCTTCTGTTGGGAGTGTTGCTCATATTTTCGTACTTACCGAAAGAAGGCGCTACGTTCACAAAAAGGAAGGGAAAACTAACAACCTTACTACTAATCAGTAGTATCAGCCGTGGTAACGTAGTTTATGTTCAGTGCTTGTCTCGTCACGTTGGTGTGAGTGGTGTCGTGGTTAACTTGTAAGTTGCTAAGCGAAATAGTGTACAACACTGTTGCGGTAATAAAGAAGTGTCGTATTGTTAAAAGAAATATTGCGTTTGAATTTTGTTGTATGTAATGGATATTTTGACACCACAAAAGGCTTATGTAAGGTAAAATTTCAACATTTTGCTTATTACGAAACTGTTAACGTATTAATGGGCGTAATGCCCAGAAGCTTTTGGGCACTTCAGACGCAACACAGCGAAAATAAAACTGGATCATGATTGTTGGTGACTGTGTGGTATTGTCATGCATCGCTGGACCTGGCTGGTTTTGAAGTTATATTTGATGAGTGCAGTTGACGCATTGTTGGAAAAGGTGGAGGTCAAGGCATGTACAGGTACTCTTAGTATTCTACCTTCGGTGCTAGCGGAAAGGTCAGTCTTATTCATTCTATTTTAGTGAATAATCCATGATTGTGCGGCAAGAATGAGACTGTAATTACGATCGAAAAGCATTAGAGAGCAACGTACGTTAGTGATGGGCGCTGTCAAATGATTTCTACTATCGAATAGCTGAATGCAATTATCGAATGAATCGTTCACTAGCAGTAGTTTTCATTCAGATTTTTTAGTATCCGAATTATTTTACTTTGTAATGCGGGTTGTGAACGATGTCAAGTAGCTATAACAGCCCAGTGTAGTACCGTTTCTGGGGCCCCGGTCTGTGGTTAAGGGTCGAGTCAGTAAAATATTTGGATGATTTTTACGGGGAACCGTGTTGCGATATTACTATTTATTTTATAATTAGGATTGAAATTTATATTATTACATTAAAAAATCAATTTAGTTAAATTTAGGCTGCCTGAATGTAGAAGGGTTCCTCTGATATTTGCGTTCCCGTCACGGCCGAGCCATGATACCAGCGCCTAAGATGAAATCGTGTCTTGAATGTGAAGATGAAGCAAAGTCTGTATGCATAATTAAGCACCATGCTATGAAAACATGTGGGAAGTGGAGGTATGCAACATAAATTCTTAACCTCTGTGCTACAATGGAGATGAGTGGTCAACTTCATGTCCTGACAAATTTATTCACAGGGAAATTGGCTTTAATACCCAGTGGGTGGGTCCAGAGCCTATCAGAACGCTGTAAAGAAGAGAAAAATTTCTTGCACCTGTCAAGAATGGAATCCGGTTCCTTGATTTTCTAGCCTATAGCCTGGTCTCTGTACCAAGTGAACCATCTCAGTTCCTCATGTGTGAATGTACGGGGTGATTCTAAATTATTGTGGTGATTTCTGTTTGTAGGCCACTGAACCCCTGACAATAATCTAGAATTTCCATATATGTATTTTTTAATTATTTTGTCATGGTTCAAAATAAGTGCATTTGTGTGTTTAAATTTGTTTATGTGTGGCAGAAGGCTCACATCAAACATATTTCATACATTTTGCTGTGACAAGAGTGTCACTTAACTCTTGAAATGTAGTTATGGTTGCAGTCCAATACAAATTATCAAACAATACTTTAATTGGTTAATGTGCAACAGTCAAGGACAGTCCCTCAACAGTTCTCCAGTGACCACTGAGAAGGTGTCTCATGAGTTCTGCTACAGTTGATATTATTCCCCTGCATATTTGTCGGTTGTTCTGGATTATGTTGGCCAAGTTGTGACGAATTGGTTGGCTAACTGGATTGTTGATTCCAGCCATAGAGAGTAAAATCTCACTGTAGAACAGAATTTTGTTGAAGGTGTGTGTATGTTTATTGCAAAATTGTCAGACAGCTGCTTTGTTTAGGGTATTCAGCCCACATGCAGAAACTATTTATCAGAAACTACTTCAAAAGGATATTTTGATTTCCGAATGTTTCAAAATCTAAACTTGGCATGAAAACTCATGTTACCATTTTTATTATATTAGCCGACTTCACTTAGTTTGAAAAAATAAGGTAAGTTTATGACATCACCATGCTGTCTGTGATTTCCACCCTGTTTACCATCTCCATTGATGTACTCTTGTTTAGTGATGGTTAGCCATCCTGACAGATGTCTCCCGTTATTCTTGTCCAACATCCTGTTGCTCTAACCTGCATCGTGCTCACTACTTGCATTTCACATCACACTATTTCTCCATACATGACTGCTGGTCGCTGCTTCTGAGATCAGAATTACGCTCAGCTGCCACTTTCCTGTGACTAACTCATTTCGTGGGCCCCACACACTTTTATCCAGATGAAGTCATTTTGAACCTTCTTGCAGGATCTCGGCCAACCTTGGACTCCTTAGTTTCAAACCCCACAAGAAGGAGGGACAGAGGCTGCGGTGCTTCTCAGGAGAGCAGAGCATGCAAATGCAACCAACCTCCCCTCACTCATGTGGAAATATATCTACATTTAAGGGGATTATGTTATGTATGTTTTTAAATTTCTTAGGGGTGGGTTGAGACCGAGTTCACTTGGTATGTTGACCACTGTTTGGCCTATTGTGCCAGCCCTGGGTGATAGGTGATGATGAGTATGCAGCATTCAGTGAAATGAGTATTAGCAAGGGAAGTCGAACTGCTCAGAGAAAACCTGCTCCAGTGTCACTTTGTGTACCACAAATCCCGGTTGACCTGACCTGGGCTCATACCTGGGCTGCCATGGTGGGAAGCTGGCAACCAACTGCCTGAGCTATGGCATGGTCATTATATTGCATTACTTATTGTACATTGTGTGAGATATAATGTGACGCTGTTTTTAAACTCTCTTTGGAATGAATCAAATTAATAAAACTACCATAATCTGGCAGTTTAAGAGTGCATTCTGTTCAGTTGATCCATTCGAGATCTGAGGTTCTCATGATTGTGACTATGAGTAGTACTGTTTTCTGGAACCTACCGCACCAAAACATTGATTTTTTTCTGCCAGTCTGCTTGGCATCATATTCGAGAACACAGTAATCATCAGGGAATCCATCTGATTTAATGCAAAATGGCTTAAATAGGCCCTTCCAAATTTTTTGTGTTTGCCTTCCCTATTTAACAGAGCTTACAAGCAGCAGAGGAAGGATCTGATGTGTTCTTACACTGTCCTCCAATTTGATAAATTGAATTCAGCAGTCTGTCCCCATATGCAAGGATTGTGTTCCTGAAAAACACCTAAGGTAATGAGACAAAGACATAAAGGGAAATTTGGGTTAGGGTAACCACAACTGCTGTTAACACAATTCACAAAGCCGCCTGTTCTGACACTGAAAAGGAAATTTGTAATAACACCCAACATACGGATGATAATTTGTAACCAATAAAACTGATTTTGGATGTCATTGCAGCCCTTTTCCCAGCATGTGGTGATGGATCTCTTGGGGCAGAAGTCACTGATCATTTTCATATGTACTAAATTAGAGATAAGGTCATGTAGCACAAATGGGGGGCACGAGGAATGCATATATGATATTGGTGGGAAAGTCAGAAGGAAAGAGACCACAGGGAAGACCAAGGCGTAGGTGGGTGGACAATATTAGAATGGATCTTAGAGAGATAGGATGGGATGGTATGAATTGGATAGATCTGGCTCAGGACAGGGACCAGTGGAGGGCTCTTGTGAACACGGTGATGAACCTTCGGGTTCCGTAAAATGCTGGGAAATTCTTGAGTAGCTGCAGAATTGGCGGCTCCTCAAGATGGGGTCAGCTCCATGAGTAAGTAAGTAAGTACTAAATTAAAGATTGTGAACACAAGAAATATTATCTTTTTTTTTTTTTTTGTGCAAAATGTTATTTGCCATTATTTTCAGTCTCAGTTTTAGCTTCGAGGTTGAAACCTACACTGCGCTGGCAGGTATGCTACTCCTGGCAAGCTTGCTGGTATGGGGACTGAGTGAAAGAGCACTGCAGAAATCCATATGCTATGGTTCAGAAAACTGGATACACATGTGAAATGGGGATTAGTGAGGGATTTATATAGATTCAGTTTTGATTTTAAGCCGAATAAATTAATTTGATAATTTTTTTATTTTAGACGTATTCAGTGATTTATATTTGATTGTGCCCATCAGTAATGTGCGTGTTGAGTCGTTTGCAATGAATTGGATATTCTCTTCTGTTTTTACAGCCCTGGCCCTTGCCTGTTCCAACTTGAGTCACCTTTTAAATTGTCTGCCTATATCTTCATGTCCAGTTGGCTTATATATAAATTCAAGCTTCAACACTTTCTATTTTGTCAAAATAATTTAACCATTTGGCTCTGCGATCATCTATTTTATAAGATACTGAATACATGTTTAGTTCCATCAATATATCTTGACTTCTAATTTTATTAAATTTGGGGTGTTCTTTGATACACAGGATTTCACTTCCAGTTTACTTTTGCCAGTGCCGTTATTATTCCCAGTCCAATTTTCATTACTGTGTGAAAGCGTGAGCAGTGCCATTGCTGTATAAGATTTTAGTTCTTTTTCTTTTCTTCTTCTTCTTTTTAATGATCTGTTTGTCATCCCACATACTGCTTGAAACTGGTGTATTCTGCTTTGCGCATCATAGTCTGTTTCATAAGAGGTATATTTTAAATATGAAACTTTAAAATAACCGTTTTGCTGCAGACCATATGTTTTCCTTGAAAAGCAGTCACTTTTGTTTTTGTTAAGACTTTTGCTTCAAGGTTGGCAGATCAATTTCTGGAAATCTTCCTTGAATTTTTATTTGATAATTTGATTGTGAAAAAGTAAGATGTTTAATGTATATTTTTCTTTTCGTTTTATGTAGAAGTTCACTTGTCTTTTCGGTTTCCATAGAAGTTTATCTTGATAAAGATAAAGAGGTAAATGAATGAGAACATTTCCATCTTACCCCTGGATTTAGATTGGTATCCAGAAGTGTTGAGAATTTTTCATGTAGGTCTGTCCTTGTCTTCGTGCATGTTAAATATTTGGGGATGTCCTCATATCTATGGTGTTTTGTTGTAATGATGTTTCAAAAGATTACTCATAGCCAATGAAAAATATGTACATTTGCAAATAAAACTCACATCTTTTGTTATTTGAGTTGAATGTGTACTGCAAAAATGCAGCAGTATGTGCTTCAGAAACTGAAAGACTGCAATGACATTACAGAATTGCTATTGAAGGTCTTTGATCTTGAAGTATTTCTTCCATCCAAGACTTACAAGTTCTGTGCTGTCTGCTAGAAGTTATTGTGTTTAACCCCCTTGTTATTTAATAAAATATATAGTGTTAATGCATTATTAGTTTCCTTTTACATATTTGAATGTATGTCAAGACTTGGATTGTATATGGAAGTGTTGTGTTGTCAGATGTCTTGTGGATTACAGAGTATAAGTGTTTACAGCTTGCTTTAAAAGTGATTGATGATTGTAAAACAACAAATTAATTGTTGGCCAGTCGTTTTTGCGGGAATGAAATGGTCCCCGCAGTGTTTTTACGTTCTGCCATTGTGCT